GCTTTGAATCTTCATTGTGATGCGTTGTCCGGCGTTTAACACAGTTTATACTCGTAAGTATTTTGGAGTCTACACAGTTTAAGCTCTTAAGGAGTTGGAGCGGGGAGGTCTAGTTTATACTCATACACTCCTGGGAGTTATGTTAAGTTATCCTTAAGAATATTTTTTTAGAAAAATATTCTCCAGAATTCTCAACAAAGAGGAGGGAATAGTTTATACTCGTATACCTTATTGGAGTATTAAGAAGCAGTTTATACTCGTATACTTTTCGGAGTATTAAGAAGCAGTTTATACTCGTATACTTTTCGGAGTATTAAGAAGCAGTTTATACTCGTATACTTTTCGGAGTATTCTTTAGGTTCGAATAATCTGAACCGGCCCAAAAATGTGCCAAAAAGGCAGTATTTGGGTTCAAAAATCTCTCCAACCCTTCCAAATATGTGGTAGAGGGGTTAAATAGTTGAAGGACTGAACCGTAGGTTGATCTAAAGTCGTTCCAATGCTTAATTCAGCTCCAATTTGAATTCTGGTTCAAATTTGGTTCAAACTGGTTCAATTTGGCTCAGACTGGCTCATTCTGGTTCAATCTGGCTCAATTTGGCTCATTCTGGCTCAATCTGGCTCATTCTGGCTCATGCTTTCCCATCCTATGCAGGATATCGTGAGGAAGGCGAGATGAGTCCTGATGATTGTGCATCTCCTGGTGAGCCTGACTCACCGCCCCAGGTAGAAAAGCCTGCAGAGACCGCCCATGTTGGGGAGTCTGTCAATGAAGGACCCAGTTCGGTGATCCCAGGTACATCTTCAAGAGGTAACTTGTCTCTATTGGCCATAGTTTCCTTCCTCCTCCTTCATACTTATATCTTTTTATGTCAGATTTTTCGATTGATGACTTCGATGGGGAGGGCCTGCCTATGGACACTTCTATGTTCAGCTTCATGTATGACTCTCCTCAGATCGATGGCCAGCGCCGAGCCACCTCGGGGTGGCTCGGTGGCCGAGCCACCTTGAGGTGGCTTGGCCATGAGCCGAGCCACCTCAAGGTGGCTAGGCACAGTGCCGGCCACCCCGAGGTGGCCGACAGTGGCCAGAGGGGGCCGACAATTCCCTTTTTGCAGCCACTGTCCTGAGAGCCTATAAATAGGCCTAGAGATGTTCATTTTCAGAGGTCGAACTTTCAAGAGCCGAAACTCTGCCGGATTGAAGAGTGAACTCGGAGCTTTGAAGACCAGAAGACTTGCACATTCGGATCTGATCCTCGGCGACTATCCACGTCAGAAAAGGCAGGATCTCGAGAGGAAGAAAGAACAGATCTGAGATCTACACGAGACTACACTCCAGATCTAAGCTTGGTCTTAGATCTCGAGATCTGAGCGATTATTCCCTTGGTGGATTAATCCCTCCCGGCTATTATTCCCTTCGTGGAATAATACCCGCATACTCGTGTAGATCCGACCGGATCTAGATCGCGCGGTGGTCCACGGATTAACCCCGGCGCAGGCAAAGAACCCACCAAAGCGAGCGACCGCAAAATGTTCACAAGAGGAAAGTTGTAATTTTTATTTTTTTTTCTTTGATTTAGTTGTAACCGGATCTATAAAAGACCGGATCTTTGTAACCCAAGATGACAATCATATCAATGAAAAAGAAAACAGTTTTCCACGCGAACAAAAATAGGTACGGAGGTAAATATATTTTGCAATCAAAGAGGCTGAAAAAAGAATTGAGACTTGTCGAAAATCAACTACTAGCTTGGAAAATTTCAGCCATTTTATTAGCAATTTTTTGTATTATTTTAATTATTATAAACTGCATGTCATGTACTTGTACTTGCAAAAGCAATTTTTTGTATTATTTTAATTATTATAAACTGCATGTCATGTACTTGTACTTGCAAAAACTATTGAGGTTGTAATGAAAACTGTTTTTGGTATTATAAACTGCATGTCATGTACTTGTACTTGCAAAAACTATTGAGGTTGTAATGAAAACTGTTTTTGGAATTGGGTATAAATTCTAATTAATATTGTATGGCTCAGTAATAGATCAACTTGTCATAATTGATTGTCCCACCTATAGCTTACATGTTTATTACAGATTGCATTATAAGGATGAATTGCCTCGCTTAGACATTGTCAATTCAATGTAGGCTACAATCTCATTCCCTTTTACCTCATCTGAATATAATAAACAATGTAAGTTAGATTGCATTCTTAGTAAACGCTAATCATCATCATTGCCAAATATCAACTGCAAGGAGCTACACAAGCTCAAAACAAAACAACAAGTAACCCACAGGCAAGGAAAAACAAAACAGCTCCCACATGGCAGCCTACATAGCTCCCACATAACAGCCTACACAAGCTCCAAACAAAACAACAGCAAACCCAATTCACAGGAGCTACACAAGCTCAGAACAAAACAGCAACAAACCCAGCAGCAAAGAGTCACACAAACTCCAAACAAAACAGCAACAAACCCAATTCACAGGAGCTACACAAGCTCAGAATAAAACAGCAACAAACCCAGCAGCAAGGAGCTACACAAGCTCCAAACAAAACATAAGTAAACCCAATTCACAGGAGCTACACAAGCTCAGAACAAAACAGCAACAAACCCAGCAGCAAGGAGCTACACAAGCTCCAAACAAAACAACAACAAACCCAATTCACAGGAGCTACACAAGCTCAGAACAAAACAGCAACAAACCCAGCAACAAGGAGCTACACAAGCTCCAAACAAAACAGCAACAAACCCAGCATCAATGAGCTACACAAGCTCCAAACAACATAGTAAAAAACACAAGAGCAAGGAGCTACACAAGCTCCAAATAACAGCCACAAATCCAAACTCAATGAGCTACACAAGCTCAAAACAAAACCTTATATAATCCAAAGGCAAGGAGCTACACAAGCTCAAAACAAAACCTCATATAACCCAAAGGCAATGAGCTACACAAGCTCAAAACAAAACAGCAACAAACCCAAAGAGATTGAGGAGCTACACAAGCTCCAAATAACAGCCATAAACCCAAAGGCAAGGAACTACACAAGCTCCACGAACCTGATGGCAAAAAAACCCAAAGCCAAAGAGCTAAAAAAGCAAAAGAGCAACAACATATACGCGTGCACCTGACAACCAAAAACCCACGGCAAAAGGAGCAACAAATTAGCTTCACCTGTCATCAAAAGCAAAGGAGCAACATTAAGAACTCATTGGTCATGCCTATCCATACTTACCTGCATCAAAAGTTAAAAAGTACCAATTCATTAATTACATGACGTCATAGCATTTTCATAATAAGAAGTATTGCAACATTAATAGTTTGCAAATAACAAAACGATATATGTGCAACAACATATACGCGTGCACAACAAAATGCTTCATCAACATGTAATCCAAACCGAACAAATTAGTTAACAAACCAACCTTGGTCGTTAATCAGGTTGGTAATGTACCTCTGCTGACCTTCCTTGCCTTTTATGAAAAACCTTCTAGCTTCACGTTCATTGTCATATAAGTGATCTAAAATCCTACCTAGAAATTCATCAGAATATTCATTCCTATGTTCCTTCAACGCTGCAGCCAACTGCTCAGTCCAATGAACAATGTGTTGATTTCTCATGGACTGAGACATTGAGTCAACAAAGGCACATAACATTTCCTCTTCACGATTTTATTTTTTAGGTTTCTTGTTAGAAGATGAATTCATGTTATCTTTACTCTTAGACTTACATCTAGTCGATTGTTGTTGGTTACAAGCATCAGATTTTGGTGTAGTTTTACTCTCCTCTGGAATTTTACTATCATCTTCAGGAATAGGTATGGAGCTACTAGACCCAATGTTAGCATACACAGGCCTAAGAAATTTACCCTTAGCTTGGTCATCACCCATGGTAGTTTGTAAATTTTTGAAGTGAGGTAGGGGTTTGTTTATGTATGCTTTGAACTTAGATTTGGATTTGTCCTGCAATAACAAATAATCATAAGTTGTGAACCAAATGTATTAATTATTAATGACAATATAGATGCTGAATGTTATACCTGAGACCACGATTTCAAGGTTTCGTCATCCAGTATAATCATTTTATTTATTTTATCCCACCCAGCTCCACTTATATCAAGGCAAGCCTTCATGTCATTGAATTTGTTTCTCAAACATTTCAAGTGGTTAATGACATGTATATGAGTGAAATCAGTCCTGAATTGCATGTTGATTTTCATCGCTGCTATTTTATAAGCTTCTGCCTTGAAGTTCTTGTCTGGTTTTAGCCTATCTAATGCTAATTCTGCAAGATAAGGAATAAGAACGTCATCGTGCTCTGGAAGCCAAAACTTATTAGTCATACCTCTTGAGTTCAACCTTGTCCCCAGGACCAATTTCTTATGAGCTAATTTTTTTCTCTTTTTTCATTGGTGAAGTGTGCTCCTCACCATCAACGTCATGAATAACCTTCTCTGCTGAATCACCAGTGTTTGGTGAAAATTGATTAGGTCCACTACTTTGAGAACTAGCTGTGGGAAATAGCAAACCTTATGGACTGCTTAACATGCTCATGTATGACATTGGTTGCTGTGTCATTCCATCATAATTGACATCGTATAGTAAGAATGGTGAGAATGTATGACGGGGTGAAGAGAAAGGTTGTGATTAAACAAGCGTGAAGTTCATGTTTATGTTAGCAGTTGGATTTGGCGGGGCATTAGAATGAGAAGGCAGGGGCTGCTTATCTGCCTGATTGTTAGCCATACCTAATATATATTGAACAAATAGACATTATTATTAAAGAAATCTAAATCAATATATAATATACATGTATTTAGCAATTTGAGTTAGAAAAGGAATATATGAAACGCCTACATGTATAGAAACAACATGAAAAGAGAGAAGATGATAATCGTAGTAATGTTTAGTACATGCTAAGAAACATTAAAATGGATATTTGCGAACAGTAAGAAAATAATACAAGTTATTACATCGAGATAGAACAAACATCACATTAAGCTAATCCACTTTCTATTGTGTTACCACCATTATACTTTGCACAATAATCCACCAACATCACCCAAGCAATTTGATCTCGTAGCTCATTCCATTCATTTCTTTCATCTTGATCCTCTCTCTGTGTCCTAGTTTGAGTATAATCCACCACACTTGAGTCATCTTCATTTGTCACTTCCCCATTATCTTCATCAATTTCTACATTTTCATTTAAAATATCATTATCTGGATCTTCTATAGCAATAAAATTGTGTAACACGGTACACGCTAGTACAATGTCCACTTGAGTGGGAAATGGATAATTTGGCTTCACTGATAGTATTTTAAACTGGTTCTTCAATATACCAAATGTGCATTCAATTTTTGATCTTAAACTGGAATACCTTAAATTGAACAACTCTTTTCTATTCTTTGGTGTCCTACCAGTGTGCTCTTTTAAATGATATCGTACACCGCGATATGGGGATATGAAGCCTGACATTGTGGTGTATCTAGCGTCACATAGGTAATATTTACCTACATTAAATAGAACAATATCTTCATATCACACTATTGACAAGTATTTAATTTTTTTTTAGTTGTGAACAAGTAAGAATTAATACCATCATAAACTCGAAGCCCGTAAGGCTGTGGTCTCGACAAAGCGTCTTGTAATATCCTATAGTCATTTGCTGCTCCCTCCCACCCAGCTAGGACATAGGTGAATAGTTTATTAGGGGTGCATGCTGCTAGGACGTTTTGTGTCACACCTTTTCTCCCTCTAAAACGGGCAACTAGGTTACTGGGTAATACTGCGTCAACGTGTGTGCCATCTATCATACCAATATAATCCTATAAAAAAATATAAGTTATAAAATATTCAATAAAATACATATTCACTTAAAACAGATGTTGAGGTGTATGTATTATTTTTACCTTGAAGTAAGGAAAATAATTTGGGTTGTTTGCAATCTCTGCAGGAACTTCATTTGGAGCTTGCTTCATATAGCGATCACGTAACCCATTCATTGCTTGTAGGACTTTATTAAAATACCTACTCACTGTTTCTCCCGATCTTATGAACTCAGTCCTTATTATTCTATTTTTAGTTTTATGCCCCACTATACTTAGAAACATAGCGAGTTGTTTTTCGACTTGAACATGTCTGGAATCCTCTAATAAACCGTTTTCTTTCATTACTTCAGCAAGTTTAAAAAAGGCACTCGGTCTCATTCTAATGTAAGACCGACAACTATCACTATAGCCTTCCAATACACGTTTGAAGTGAGCTTCTCGGCAATAATTTTTTTTAATTTTTTCCTCCTTCGTACAAGATGAAATTATCTTGCGCTTAGCACGCATTCTCAGAATACATGTTATTATTGTGACCACCGTAGACACAGTTGTATTAGCACACATCCTCTTCAATTGTTCTTCATCTACGTTATCCATCTAAATCCATTGTAAAATTAGCATATATTTACAACTTAACAGTAATAATGTTTGGAAACTAAAGATAATTAAATAACTAATAAAAATATTAAAATCGTAAAACCATATATCTACATATCCACAAATATATATCAAGTAGTGAAACAACTATTTAACCCAAAGGCAAGGAACTACACAAGCTCCATGAACCTAAAGGCAAGGACTGCAATAACAAAAATTCCAGAGAACCGAAAATCAATAATCAACTATATACCAAAACCCTTGTTTCATGAGAGATTAGACATGTAGATGCTAAGCAGTTGCGAATGAAACCCCACCGACAAATAATTCTACTAAAATCAATAATCAACTATATACTAAATGAAACCCCACCGAACAATACCCTTGTTTCAATAATTAAACATATACCAAAATCAATAATTCCACTACCAATGTTAATTTCCTCAGAGCAAGCACAATGAAACGATCACATTAAAAGGGATAAAATAATTTATACCTGCAGATGCCAAGCAGTTGCGAATGGAATAATTAAGAAATTGATATCGTTGCCAACAAACCCCACCGGACGGAACAACCAGCAAACCCCACCGACAAATAAGCACTGTGCCTCGTCTTCGAAAAAGAAATCGAAGAGATGAGGTGGGATAAAGGGTCGCGGGAGAAGCCGAAGCCAAAATTTAGGGCAAATCCACCAACCGAACCCAAGAACAATATCGAAGAACAGCGGGAGAGGAGGCGCGAAGAAGCTTGGGGAGAGGCGGGAGAAGAAATGAGGAGTTGCGATTCCAGATCTAGGGTTCGAAGTCGAGAGGATTAGGAATCAGAAAACAAAGATGAAGAACGATGTCAGAATTCTCGCCCAAATCCTCTCAAAAACCTCCGATTTGGGTTTCTATAAAAAAACTCTTACTGTTGCACTTTATGGATTTTGTAATCCATAATTTTTTTTCCCAGCCAAACTCTAGAATAGGATTGATAAAGAATCCAAATATTACACTTTTGCCACAGTCAGATCCAAATACCAATTCTTTTCTATAAATTGGCTGAAACAAACACCCCCTAAACTAATCCACGGATAGGAAAATATTCTCGTTGCGGTACGGACACACTTAACGAGGGAGATGTAAAGCGGTTAGATATGATTGATTGCACATTAACTATCTTAAAATAAAATTTCAAAGGATTTAAATATATATTTTTAACCATGTAGTATGTATTTTTGAAACAGACGTTCCTGAATCCTTGTAGAGTTGCTTAGGGGCTGTTTGGTTGGTTTCCTAAAAGCCAAAAAAGGAAATTGGTACTAGGAAATCAATAAAATAATATTTTTATCCATTTCTATCCCTAAAACTCACCCACAACATCCAATAAAATATTCTTTTTATCCTCCAACTCATCTCATTTCATCTCCTTTCTTACCTTTAAAAATAAACCAAACACAAGAAACGTGTCACATCATCCAACTCATCACATCTCATCTTATCCCATTTTTAAAAATCACATACATCATCCAATAATATTGTGACAACTCATCTCATCTCATTAAACCTTCCTTTCCATTCATTTCCTCAAAAAAAAAAAAAACAAGAAATTGATTTCCTTAAGTATGTGTCACATCATCCAATAATATACCTCCAACTCATCTCATCTTATCTATTTTCTTATTTTTAAAAATGAACCAAACACAAACAACCTCAAAACACCATCCAATAATATACATCCAATTCATTTCCTTATTTTTTTTAACCAACCAAACAACCTCAAAACAAGTTTTTTTAAAAAATCACTCACATCATCCAATAATAAGGTGACAACTCATCTCATCTCCTATTCTATAATTTCCTTCTTTTTTAACCCAACCAAACAACCTCTAAACAATTATTATAGGAAATAGGTTTCCTATTCTTTAATTTCCAAGTTTTTTTTGCGAAACTAACGGACCCTTAATTTATTACGCATTGATATATGCATAAAAACATATTGAAATCATTGGGATTTTTATTTCTGGGAGGTCTGCGATCTACGTCACATCCAATAGCATGAATTTTCAATTCAAAAATTCTAATTTTAGATTCGCCTAAATAATATCTACACTTTGAATACCATGAATAATACACTAGCTTATATGACTGGTGTTTTATATGCGTGTGCGTACGCAGGGGCCGGTGCATGTTATCAACCAGTGAGGCACCTGCACCCCTTGATACGGGTGTATCTTCTCTTCGGGAGCTTAGCGATCCTCTTAGGAGCTTGAGGATAGATGATTCTCATGGTATCTTGAGAATAGAGTAGAGGAGTCGTGGACGAGGCCTTTGGAAGCAACGAAGTCGAAAGGATTCATCAAAACTGCAGAAATTACAGTTGGACTCTGTCCGGTCGACCGGCGTGGTCACGGCGGTCGACCGCATCGTGCACGGACCCCAACTGTGTCTCGGGACTGAGATCGGTCGACCGATGGTGGCACTGCGGTCGACCGGAGAACCCTGTAATCGATTTTCCAGATTTCGTCGTTCTGACCGGTCGACCGACTTGGGCACTGCGGTCGACCGCGTCGCGGATCCGGGCCTGGGTCTGTTTCCTGCTCCAGTTGGGATTTCTGTTTAGTATAAATAGAAACACGACTTTTCTAGGGTTTAGAACTCAGTTTGTAATCAGAAAAGAGATCAGGGAGGTTGTTCTTTGATCTAGAGAGATTGTGAGAGAGAGATTTGTAAAATCCAATTGATTCTCATAATCTAGAGAAGGTATTTTCCTTCGCCCTAATTCAACTCTTGTGTTCTTCTGTCGTTCTTCTTCTTTACCCACTCTTGATAATTCCGCGATCAAGAGTGCTCGCACGGCAACTCGTATCAAGTTGGTATCAGAGCACCTAGATCCTGTGAAGGGGGAACCTGTGTATGGTCCTTACTCGCTCACAGTACAAGAAGCTTGGCGAGATCCTTATTTCTTTGGAGAGAGTCCAGAAATTAAGGAAGGAGAAGATGACTGAAGCAGATAATTCAGCGAGACTTGATGCCATGGAGAGACAGATTGAGACGATCGGGACGACTCTTACCCAACTCGTGGGTCTAATCAACGGAGGTGACAAAAAGGAGGAATCTTCTTCGAAGGGCAAGAAGAAACTCGTCGAATCCGACGAGGAACACGAGGAATCTGATTCAGAGGGGGAGACTGAGATTGTCAAGACTGCCGGACATCAAAGGAGTAAGAACAATTACCAAAATCTGAAGATTGACTTCAAGGTTGAGATTCCTGTTTATGATGGGAGTATCAACGTGGAGAAGCTTGATGATTGGATCGAACGTATGGAGATGTACTTCACTCTCTACGGATATTCGTCCAAGGAGAAGATAGTGTTCGCGACACTGAAGCTTTCCGGGCACGCGTTGACGTGGTGGAAATCCTATTGCAAACAGGAGAGGAAAGTGGCGTCGTGGAACAAGTTCAAGGAACTACTTTGTAAACAGTTCTATCCAGTAGGGTTCCTTGAGGAGCATTGGTACAAGTGGTATGGCTTGCGCCAAAAGTTTAATCAGACCGTTCAGGAGTATACGACGGAGTTCCAACAGCAGGCGATGGTTCTAAACATCGTAACAGACAAGTATCCCATCTTTATGAAGTACATGGCGGGTCTGAATGAATACATCCGGAAGGAGATGAAGTTGTTTTCAGTGGAGACAATCGCAGAGGCGAGCGTGAAGGCCATTGCCATTGAGGGCAGGCAGAAGAAGGGCAATGAGACAAAGGGGGATTCCAAACCATCGGGGAGCAAGACGGGTGGCTCTCAGTCTAAGGATGAGAAGAAGAAGGTTGACTCGGGGAAAGCAGGATTGACATGCAATCACTGCAAGCAGACAGGGCATGTGGCCGATCGTTGCTGGGATAAGTATCCTCATCTGAAGCCAAAAGGATTGAAGAAGAAGGAGGAGAAGAAGGCGTACGTGATAGCACAGGGTCCGAAGGAGGTTCCCGGGATGACCGAACCCAATAGCAGTCTCAACCTTATGGCGGGGAAGCAGGCTACCAAGGAAGATGACGACCCGAGGGAGCAGCTCTTTGTTCTGAAATTGCAGGTCAAGACCAGCTTAGTGGATGCTATTGTAGATCCAGGGAGTCAGAAAAATCTGATATCTGAGGCATTAGTACAGAAGCTGGGATTGAAGATGGTGAAGCATCCAAAGCCCTATCCATTAGGGTGGATTCAGAAGGAGGCGAGATTGAGTGTAGTGAACCAGTGTTCATTCAAATTTGCACTCCACGAGTCGTATATTGACGAGGTCACATGCGGCGTGGTTCCGTTAGATGTTTGCCAAGTTATTTTGGGCAATCCTTATTTGTGGGATAGATACGCAGTATATGATCGGCGAGCCCAAAAGTATACGTTCACCAAGGATGGCGAGCAATTCGTTTTTTGTTCGGCGTCTCTTCCACAGGAGACGAGCTTGGTGACGGTGACTCAGGCTAAGAGGTTGGTGAATGCGGGCAGGAAGTTCGTTTTATTGTTCATTCGACCGTATGAAGAGCAGCTGAGTAGGATGTGCTTGTCCGCCTTGAGTAAGCTTCAGGAGGGAGATCTT